CACTGCCATCTGGGCACTGTTGATATTCTCATTTTGACGGTGAGGTATGACTTGGTTTTGGGGATTTGCAGATCAGACGTGAGCGCTTCTCGTTAAAACGGGATTTCGCTTAATGTTAAAAGACACTAAGAAAGCAGGGACAGAAAAAAAGTCTGAGCTTCTTTGAAAAGTTTTGGATTTTCAGGAGCTAATCACTTAAAAGTGGGTTTCGACTTGGCAACTAATCCCTTTCTAAAATGTGAATTAATCATTTTAAACCCAATTTTATCCTTTTGGAAAGTTTTGATAGAGCCATCAGATTCGTCTATTGGAGCCTGTTCTTTATCCAGTAGATATTTTACACATACAATACTCTATAATGAACTCATTGGAGCTTGTTCCAACGAGAACTGGCATACTTTGAACGGCCACTTTCTGTGAACTAGTTCTATGCGCACAGCGTGGAGGGGATTCAGAGCAGAAAAAACTAACATTATCGGATCAAACTGAGCCTGGCCTACATTGGGAGCCGGATGACTGTAACGAATCATAAACCGACCAACATAATAAAAGAAACACCAACCGTGTGTCCCGCCGGGAAGGCTGAAGATCCCGCACAGTGCGCCGACGAATATCCACCATCCGCTCATGGTCAGATCCAAAGCGGGCATCAATCCGGTCGGGAACGGGAAAACGGCGTCTAAATCAAATCAGAGCAGTCCTCTTGGTGCATCATTAATGCTCTGAAAACAACCAGAAGGGGGTGGAGGGGGCTGTCCGGGAATCTTTAATAAGAAGCGGTGAGAAGGCGCTGCGCGCCCGGGCTGGAATGCGCCGCAGTCCGGTAACCTGGAGAGGTATGCGCCTCCTTTCTCTCTCTCTGTCTCTCTCTCTCCCTGCTTGGCCGCTCACACTCCACTCCACCGACATATAATAAAGAAAGAAAGAAAAACCTCTGATTGCAAGGTGGTCCGCCCCCTCCCAAGCGCGCACCGGGACGCTCCAAAAAAAGCCGAGAAGCGTTCCAACGAGACTTTCTGCAAACGCACACTCACTTCTTGTCCTATCCGAGCACCACCACCCCCTTCCCCCCGCCCTTCCTCACCCCCCCTCCTCCTCTTCCTCCTCTCCTTCTTTTTACTTGGTCGTCCTCTCTCCCAAGAGGACGTCCCACCTCACTCTCTCCCCCCCCTTCCTCCGCCTCACAGATATCATAATCTCACATGATGGGGACTCTGTTACATGGGGGATTATTTCGTGAAGGAGGGAATTAGTGTTCTGTAGTGGTATTCGGTGCTGTAAGATCATGTGAGAGAGAGAGTCATCGTTTTAATCTCATTTAAAGATGGAAAATGCGAAGCTGACAAGTGATGGGAAATAATCATAATAATAAAATCCTTCCGGTGGAGCACTCTAGAGTTTATAAATGTGCTTCAACGATACTGATATCAAAGCTGTGTCATTACAGAACTTCTGCTGTGTCTGTATGCCAACCTATATCTTATGTTGGTTCCCCTATCAGACCAAAATATCACTATTTTTATCCACAGTTGGGAGGTTGTGTTGTCTTTGTGTCACATGATGGCTTTCAGGTCTCAATGAATGGCTTTCTTATACAATTATCCTATTTAAGTACTCCTAAATGCCAACTGGAATTTTTTTAAATGCTGCTCTAGTTTAGGGGTTTTGACAGCAAGGATTAGGGTCAAAAGGGTCAGAATTTAAGATAAAAAATGTTCTCATGCAACACACAGTGACAAACAAAATTTCCATAAACTTCTTCAAACTTTTTTTTTTTTTACTGAAATAACATTGTTATATGTTCTGTTGTATATCTTGACTTTGCAGAATTGTGTATTTTGTCAGATTAAATAAATATCCTATCAAATCCAAAGAGACCATCTGAAGTGTCTTCTGTGTGTTTTAGCATGTTCAAACAAATAAAGGTACATATATATTTTTAAGACGTAAAAAAAAAAACAATTCTGAGATGACATTTCTATCAAACTGGCCATAATTTTTAGTCCAGACTTTGCATCCGTTAATCAATGGTTGCTGTCATTAAGAGAAGACTTGGTCTTATAGAAGTAGGCTCATAGAAGGCAGCGTATAAAAAGGGAGCAAAATAGACAGAAAGAAGACAGGAGTTGTAGCAGTCATGTCCAGCATAAGAAAAAATATGTCCTCATCAACATCTTCTAATGTAGTGTCTCCCAACCCTGGTTTTCAAGGCACTCTGCCCTGCTTTTTTTCCATGTTTCCCATGTTTTCCTGCTCCACAACATCATAATTTCTTAATTAAGTTTGTAACCAAGCATATGCTCAAACGTTAAAATATTTAGAATTTGACTATATGGTGCTTCAGATATGATACATCACACTTTTGTATCTCTTTTGTGGTCAGAGACGTGGGGGAGTCTTCAAATACCTCACAGTGTCTGCCTTGTACATTCTTAGAACTGCATATTCAAGTTGCATTTCCCCCAAAAATCACCCTATTTCTTTATTCAAGTTGTTTGATAGAGGGAGATGCGACCAACCGGTAAAATAACCTATTTAGCAGTTTATAGATACCTGCCCTTTGTGCCCTGTGGGTCTGTCGGTCAGAACAACGGCGGGACTGAGATTCCTCAGTGTCACGTGGCTGTAACCCGATCTGTGCTCGGCCCTTTTGTCCTCTGCCAATAAACATGGATCAGAATTGCTTCGGCCTTACAATGAGCTTTCTTTCTCCAGGAATCCGAACCTGGAAACTATTTATATTCGATAGCAGTGATGCAGTGGAAGAAAAGAGAACTTGGGTAAACCTCTGGGCCCTGTGATGGACCGGTCAACTGTCCATCAGGGTGTGCCCTGCCTCTCACCTGTTGCCTGCTGCAATCCTGTTGGGAATAATTGGAATAAAAAATGGATGGATGGATAGAATCAGTGTCATCTTTATGTTGGTTCACAAAAGAAAGTCTTATTTTCTTAACACACTGAGGTTCAGTTAATGATGTGTGACCAAGCTAATATTGTGTTAATCTAATTAACATTGTCTGTTTTAAAATAACTGATCAAGAATACAAGTTTCAGAGTAATGATAGACTTTCTATTGTCAACAGCTTATAGATTTTAGAATTCTTTCTCAATTTCTCTATAATCAAATCTATAATTTGTCGCAAGATTTTTGCAAACACTTCCAATCCAAATGTAAGAAAACGTAGTAAGGAGTTTATGCGTATACAAAATAATCTTTTGTGTAAGCAAAATCATGTTCAAATCTGGTCAACTGTGTGTTTTTTTTGTGAGTCACAGGCAGATCTGAAGAACAATACATTAAAAAAACTGTAATTCTGGGAAAATAGTTTAAACAAAGTTGCAACTTTTTTTAAGTATGTTCAGATACTTAGGGACACATTTCAATTGTTAATTTGTTTTTTCTGCCCTATATCTTTATTTTTATTTCTTTTTATTCTTGCTTCTTATAGAAGTGTTGTGTTGTGCACTAAACACCAAGACAAATTCCTTGTAAGTCTGAAAACCTACTTGGCAATAAACCTGATTCTGATTCTGATTCTGATTCTGATTCAAATTTGGAGAAGGCAGATAGTTTAAACACAGATACAGTATAACATAGTAAATGCAAGTCACAGGCAAAACATAAACTTTCTTTGTTGTATTTCTTTAAAGTGAAAAGCGTTCACTGAAGGCATTTCTTCAGTTTTTTTTTGTTTCATTTAGTTTTTAACACAGCTTCTATAGCCTTCCGCGGTGTGTACCTTCTCATCCTTCCAAATCCTATTAGAATAAGCTGCTGCAGGGCTCTGATCTCCCCAACGGGGACCAGTAGAGATTTCAACTTATCTCAATTGTATACTGAACCTGAAGCTTGTTAAGAGGATAGATGTTGTAATTGGTTAATTCAACACATGCAGTCTGACACTGTGTATGCTTTGGGACATGAAGGACCTGTGTTACCTTCCCAAAGATCAGTTGTTGGCAGCTTATACATAAATCTTGGGAGTGCAGTGTTTTAAGGGGGAGGCTGAAGAGCACTAACAAATGCTCCAATCTTAATAGAAAAATAAGTTGCAATTAAATAGCTAAATCACAGATTTAACTTACATTTTTTATTTTTTCCTGGTTCTCAAGCATGAATCATCAAAGACAAATGTCCATTTAAGATTTTTTAAAGATTTAACACTTCTTTGAGGCAATGCGGGAAAAAAAGTGAATTAAGACATCAGTTGTTTTTTTTCTTTGTGAATAATTATCATTTGCTACTACTACCAGCATCATTAACACAAACATGATTTTTTTTTTACATACATATTCTCTAATAAGCCTTCAGCATAATGTAAAAAGTGACAGCCAATTTCTGCTATGCATAGATTCTCATCTGTATTTGAATCAAGATGGACCTACGTGTTTCTTTACATCCTTGAATGCATTCTTATAGAAGGGCAGACAATAATGCTTCTACCTTTTTGAAACCTTACCCTGGTTTAACCTGTAATAGGTGGTCCTTAATCTATCTCCTATGGGTTTAGCAGCAGAATGGGCTGCATAGATACTGTCTCCTAGTGGTCAGGTAGCAGTATTAAATATTTCTTCATTCAAACCACATTAAACAAATGGAGTAAGATTCATAGAGGCACCATCCAGCTCTAATTAATATATGAACTGACCTGAGATCTAAACTTGACACTTGTCATGGTCAAAAGATGGACCGTGAAGATCCAGATTTCAAACAACATTGCGCTGGCTTTTAAAGCTTCTTTACATTTATATTGCCGTTGTTTTGGGATTTACTGGTAGGTGCCACTCAAGAAACAAAGCATCAGTTAGATGCAACACTGGCAAGGTAATGCCTGGGCTTTATCTAAATTGCTGTTTTTGTAGAGGTCGGGGGCTCCGTGTTTAATCTCAGAATTGAGGAAACGTTTATTTCTAATTTGGGTTTCGAAGGAATTGGGCGAAAAGAAACAAAAGGACAAAATTGCACAGCTGAAACAAATCTGGAAACCTTTACAAAACCCATTATTATTACCGGTAACATTTGTCTGAAATCAACAGGTTTGAATGCATGAACACAGAATTATATTTGTCTTCTTGTCTTTTAATCACAGTTCACGTCACATTCTAAATGAGAGTCTAATCATTTTACACCTCTTGAGTCTAAATGAAGTTAAATACCACAGGGGAAAAAAACACCTGGATAAAGTGTGGTTATTCGGACTGAATATGAGATATTCTGCCCCAAAATATAATGGAATAAAACAATATCAAGATATTTGAAATGTTAAACATTTCTTGGGCAGAATATCCCGTATTTAGTCTGATTAAATATCCAAGTGCACACTTTATCCAAGAATTTTTTTCTGTGGTTGACAAAAATAATAAGAGGAGGTTCATCTCATCCATATTTTTAACCTTATTCAGCTTTCTCTTTCAGACTTCCACACATCCTGTAAAAAACATTATCCGTATCCGCAGAGCTTTTCTGTCCTAGTTACCATGTACGTCTTCTCCCACTTCCATCTCCCGAGGATTCAACACAAAAAAACAACCTAAATAAATAAATAAATCAGGAGAGATGTGTTGAGTCACAGTCGTAAATAAAACTTTATTTTGTCAGTCTGTATATGCAGTCTGAAACTCGGGTCATTCCTCCGTCGTCTGTTCTGCTTTCGGCAAAACGTCTTCACTCCTGAACCAAATGGCTTCACTGGTTTGACTGCAGATGATCGCTCGCTCAATGAAAGGCCCTGATGAGGAAAAGGAGAAGAGAAGATAACAGATCCAGACTGTTAAAGCTCATCTTTTTACAAACATATGGCAATAGATCTATGATTATTAGCTCTTTCCATGCGTTCATGAATCTTATTTTGAAATCACAAAAACAAGACAAATCTATTTATTTTGACCGATATTTCCCAAAGCTAAGGCTTTACTACAAACGAGCACCTATACAAACAAACACAGCTCTTCTGCAAACCTGCAGATAATCAAACACAATGGAGTTAGAAGGGTAAGAATCGGAATTTTCTTCTTATAAAGTAGCAGATTGGTCGTAGTATTTTTCAGCAAAGTGAGACAATAAGGTCCAAAGTTTCCTCTCTGATGCTTTCTTGTACTCTTTATTAAAAATATTCTCTGGTAACAAAACACGTTCTGTAAAAACCGGCATCCAAACTCAGGGGTGTTTAATCCACAGAAAGCCTCCTGCCTGGGTTTTGAACGAAGGCGCTGAGCTTAAAGCAAAAGCTCCAGCCTCTGCCGTGGGTCTGGGATCTGCCTTTTTATCGGCTCCATTTAGAGCCAGAGCACGCTCTGTGCTGCTCCTCAAAGCCGGCGCTTTCACGCAACGGTGCAGGAAATACGGAGCATCAGAAACAAGGGGGGGGGGGGGGGGGGGGGGGCACGCACTCAGACACACGCAGTTAAGTCTTTTTGGGTGAGATATGTTCAGCAGGGTGACATCGTTATTATTCCATTCTCCTATGACTCTCTACAAATCGTCTCCAATGATCTTAGAAAATGAGTCGAGCATAACAGTGACTCAGGTTAATGTGCCCATTAAACATTTTTTTCTTTTCAAATGGCAAAGTCCGGGTCAGCTGACTATTTACAATGACATTAGAACTCAAGGGGACACCAAAGACGAACATGGAGAAAAAGCTTTTGAATAAAAGTTTGAGAACCGCCACGCCGAAAGTTTTCCGCTTTGGATCGGATCACACGGGACATAAAAGAATACGAAATGCAAACAAGGGCCTTCATGATACTTGGTACAAAATCCCCGCTGTCTGGACGCATCAGTAAAAGATGGTTTTTCTCCCTTAAGAATTTGGAAGTTGGTCTGATCCCTCCGAATTTAGACTGAATATTCAATCATATCCAGAGTCAAAGAGGTGAACTGGACAGAAAACCACTTCAACTGAAGTGTGACTCTGCTTAAGCTGACTGTAGATGTGTAAAAAAAAAAAATGAACAAAAAATAAACAAATAAATAAAAAAAGAGGAAAAGTTTCTGTGCATATTGATGCAGATCCTGCCGAGTATCAGTTTAGATGGCGTTATGTTCGAAAGTGACTTTCGGCCTTTCCCCCTTGCTCATTCTTGAGCTTTAATGTGAGACCATGAACATTTCCTGCTGTCCTTATTTCTCCTGCTCGTTTACTCTTAACTTGGTTACGAATATTTCACCAGGCATTGCGACAGCTGTAGTTGACGCTGTAAAATCCCCCCTTGAGGATCTTGCTAAAGTCTTCCTTGCTTTCAAACAAAACTGGTAAACTATTATCAAGATTTTTTTTAAGTAACGCTAAACTTCACATGATTCACTTCTAAATCAACGTTGAAGCAAAGGAAAGACAACAAGTAAAAAAAATTATTATTTGACTTACTCCCGACTCTTAAGCTCTTTCCACACTTTAGGAATAAAAAACTGCTCAACTCACTGGAGAAAACATTCAGAAAAGACACTGAAACTGTATTATAATTGTGCTTCACAGCAAATACTACACTATAGTGTGTGTTGTTTTGACACCAGTGTGTATAACAAAGAGTTCTAGAATTTATGAGCACCCAATCAATTAATAATAAAGTTAAAGGGCTGTCTGTCTTATAAACAGGGGTGTAGGTTTAAACTGTCCACTATGAAATAAGGCTGAGAGACCATTACAAGCCCAGCGCATTTTGGACTAAACGCTGGAAAAAAGATTTACAAATTCCAAACATAACAGTGGTCATACAGATGGCTGAGCAAATATTGAGTGTTGAAGTTCCGAAAGTGTGTTCAGGATAGCTTTTTTTTTTTTTTTAAGGTATTCTTTTTATAGTAAAAACCCCAGGTAATAAAATTGTCTATAGTTAACTTTTCTTTGTTCCAGTAAAAACACAGTTTAAGGTGAGAGGCAGAAAAAGCTGGTGGGATTTGAAGGGTTTTCTCTTCTGAAAATCCCTCTAGTAAACAAAAAGCGGTCGGACAGTTATGAGGAGTAGATCTGAGTGGTTTTGTGTAAGCTAGAGAAGCTGGAGGGAGCATACCCATGTTGGCGGGCCGTTGGGAACAAACATCGATCAGGATGGTCTGCAGGTTGGCATAGATGTGCTCAGCGGGCATGTCGAGCTGCACAGAGGAGAAGAGACCGGGAAATCGCATTCAATCTGTCTTCACAGCACGTCTTTCATAACCGATTGTTTCTCAAAGGTCTACAGCTTCAGTAGGGAGAACTCAGTTAGTTTTGTCTGGAATAGGAGCAATATGTTGTATTTCCATCATGGAAACCTGGTCAATGCAATATCAGGAAAGTAAGGAAGGCTTCAGTGTGAAATGACATGTCGATTTGGATTCAATTTATTTTTTCAGTAACTAATTTTTCACATAAAGCTGCTTTCCAACAGGCACTCCACACTGTTGATTTTGAAACGTTTTCCAGATGCCACCATCAGCAACAGGAACCACACACCATTCCCCCCCCCCCCCCCCCCCCCCCCCCGACGTACCATGGCTATCTGGGTCCGAACGTAACAGTCGTTTTCCACCAGGTACTCGTGGCCCGTTTTAAACAACTCCAAAGTTCTGGGAATGCTGGTGCTGATTGTGCCTGTAAAGAGAAAGAACCTGATCAGCACTTCTGTCTTCTGGAGACAAATAAACGTCCGAATAATACATCCATCTGTCGTGGTTAACTTATTGAATACTCCAGCAGCCTAAACAAGGGATAACAAAACAATTAATCTACGACACAACAATGAAATACGTACTTGAAATAGCAGAAAACGTCCATGTTACTGGAGACGGATTAAAATAGCCCTGATTCTTAATGATTCAGCTTCGATCGGTTGGAAATGGTGGATGCGGGAGGGATTTTATCCCCAACTCACCCCTCTTGCTCTTTGGAAACTTCTTTCTCAGTTTATTTTTCAGAGGCACAAGCTTTGACAGAATATCTGGAACTGCCACGTAGAAGTCAGCGGAAATCTCATCGTCCAGGATCTGGAAATTGATTTTTTTTTTTTTTTTTTATCACATTCAATTACTTAAAAAATGTCCTTCTTTCAATAAATAAAATACATTACTTTACAGATTTACAGACTGTAAAGATGTCTGCTGCCATCTTTGTGATGAATTTATTGTAATTACAATGTTGAACTCTATCAGACCTGCCATAAGGTATAATGCATTCTATCAAAGAACATCTGCTAAATTTCTTTATCTGCTTCTGTCATTCTGTTAGAGAATTTATGTTTAAAAAGGGAAGCTGCTCAATTTTAAATATGAAGCAATAGGGGACATGTAAAACATATGTTTACATATAATTATCTTCTGCTTAATCAAAGTTTGAATCAAGAAGGCAATGAGTCTGAGAGAGGACCCCAAAAAATTCCCCCTTAGGGTGACATCTATTAGTCTTTCAGTTCGAGTTCTGATCTTTAACTTTAGCAGCTGTGTGGCTCAAGAGGAAATAGCAGTTTCCCACTGATCATAGAGACCCTGGGGAAGAAAACTGAACCCCAAGTTGCCTATCGGTTTATATGCCGGTGGGTGAGTGAATCTGTGAATCACATGTAATGAAAAGCACTTTGAGTGGTCAGTTCTAGTGGGAAAGCATTTATTAAGTAGAAGTCTGGCTTTCATTCCCATTTAACTATCCACTGGAAGCGAGTGAAGTCATCAGTGTACCCTAGAGCCTTAAAATAACTTGTTTGACTGACTCACTGGCTGAATGAGCTCTATTCCCCCAGCGAATGCCGCTCCACTGTCCAGGGCAACCTTGGCTTGATTGGGATCCTGTGAAGAAATAAAGTGGCGGGCGCATCTGTGATTGGCAGACCTCACAATAGTCATTCATTAAGGCTGTTAACACCCTGTGTAGTTTGACGGGACTGTGAATCAAATTCAGCTTGTAATGAAGAAAAAGACAAGATAAAAACCGAAAGCAAAGCCCATTCATCACAATCCAAACCAGCCCATTCTGCAGATTTAAATCATTCTCACAGAAAATAAAAGCCATTCAACATCAAACACGAGTTAAATAATTGCTTATGAAAAAAGAATCAAATGAGGTTCCAGAAAAAGAAGAAGAAAACATCTTTACCTCAGTGAAAACTACAACTTTGTTCATTTCTGTCTTGAAGGGGTGTGGTAAATGTACAGTACTGACAAAAGGTTCGACCCTTTTCTGCGGAGAGAAAAAATATAAATCAATATATATATAGATCAATCACAGAGCAAGCACAGACCACTTTACATCTTGTCTTTACTGATGTAACATCTATTCCAATGTCGCTTAAATTCTTATTTTTCCAAAGAGTTGCTATTTCATTATATATAGGAACACTGGCTCTGTGGAGACAGGCTAATGACGCTGAGACAGAGACTGTCTCTGTGAAGCTGAGACAAACAAGTGGAGGTTTATTCATTCGAGTTACGAAAGTTTTAGCAGCCTAATCAAAGCTGTTCAGATTGACGTCACGTTCATCTTAAAAACAGTAGAAGTGAGGTGTGACAAAAGCAGTAAATATATCCAGATTAGTCCAACTACCAATGTTGGTTTCCTAACAGTTATAGCTGGTGTGTGATCAGCTAATATCAGGTTTTTTCCTTTTGTTCTGAGGTATATTTACATATATACACACACAGAAAATGTTCCCAAACTGGAAAAGAAAATCTTCCTATAATGTTCAGCTAATATCATTTTTTATATCATTCTTTTAGGAGTTAACAAACAATGTCTAGTTATAATGTCATTTAATTTGATAAAATTCTCAACAATGTGTGTTTGTTGCAACAATAGGGCTTATGGTTTACAGGTTACAATGTAGTAAAAAACAAACTTTTTATTTACTCTGTTTTATGTACAAAGGAGAAACACACCTACTGTGTTTGGCCATTACCTTTTTCTCCAGCTTCATGTCCAGCCTCAGATCGATAAAAATGGGCTGACTGAGGGGCGTGAAGTCCAACACCTGGAATTTCTTCAACATGTCAATTGCATCAGTTGCACTATGGATCGTCCTGGGATAGTACCTCATTATGTACACATCATCTACAGGCGTCCAAGCCGTCTTCCCAAAGGGCTTGTGTCTTTCTGTGTCATTAATGACCTTCTTTTCTTTCTTTTCTTTCTTTTCTTTCTTTGCATCCTTCTCCACATTCTCCTTCTTTTGGTCTTTTTTCTGCACCCTGGCAATCAACAGAAGTGGAGTTAAACAAGCAAACAAATATTTATGGGCTGAACCGTGAACAAGAAAAGTGTTTGCTAGAGATAGAAGGTGCGAAGCTTAAAAAAAGAAAAGAAAAGAGATGAATGCTAACTTATGGCGTTTTCCAATTAATGCCTACTCAGCCCTACATGGCACGGCACGGCATAGTTTAGATGGTTTGACATCGCAAATCACGGTGGAGCAGAAAGTCACTTAAACGCAACACAAGCGCGAGACAACAATCAACACACATGATGGCAGCCATTTAACGGCTGAACCGCGGAGTTGGGCTCCGAAATGGTAAGAGTATTGGGCATGATATTATCACAGAAATATCAAATAGGAAGTTAGTTGTTTCCCGTTCTGGCTATCTATTCATGTGTCATCTGTCGTTGGCTCCCACTCAGCCCTAATGGAACCCCGACGGGTACCCGTTTAGGGGAGGAAGCCCCTAAACCAATAGATATTGGCATTAGTGGCAAAGCGTTATTACTTCACGGCCGCAAATGTCCTGACGGGTAGGTTCCTGGGAGCAGTCTGTGACACCCCGGTGTAAGCGGGACCACTGGCACAAAGCAGGTGCCTTTGACATCCTGCCAAAACTGTGGAAGAGGGGGAAAAAGAAGATGCATAAGGATTCAGCAAAAACCCACAAAACGCCAGGGTCTTTAATGCCATTCCAGTTTTACGGACTTTTCGGCAAGTTATTTTACGCCTCCCATGGGTACTCATAACTTAAGATAACTAAATGTTATGTTATCGGTCAATAAATCTAAAAGAAAATGTTTTAAATGCAAGACGCTGAACACACTAACATGGCACAGTTGTCTGTCCGGTGTGGTTGACTAGCGTGCAGCAGAGAGGCGTTCGCACTAAAATGGCTCGAAATAATAACCAGAGACTAACAGACAACATTCAAGGGCTCATTTTTCAATTGCTTCAAATCTATTACTTGTCCTAAACAAATAGCAAATATAATTCATTTGACAACTGACCTTTCCAAGCAATCCTCGCGGAGGTTGCCATGTTTGAATATTTTGTTGGTGGTCCGTGTGGCAACAATGGTTGAATATATAGTTCCGCCCGTAAAAACCTTTTTTTTCACAAACTGACATTTAGTAGCTGCCCCACAAATACATAGACTCTGTCTAAAATGTTAGATATCTACCTTCTAAGTATATCTACAGCATATTACCACCTTCGGTTGAGAAATTGTTATCTATAAAATCCCTGTTAAACAATAAGCCTCATATTTGGGAGTTTTAATCTCTGAAGACTGAAAGGTAAGATGTTCCTCAAATTTTACAGCAACTATTTCTTTATTTTATTTGGGGTTTTCTGTATGACTGCAATGCTATTTAATCATTCATTCGATTTAGAGTTAAAATCTAACCCTGACACAAACTATCATATGAAACAAGTCATAGTCTAATATATCTAAAATTGGTCAAGTTTGATAATTAATATGTTGTCCTTTAATGAAAGCTGACTATGATTTGACATATTCCTGTTTTTGGTCTGTTGGCATAAACATGTGCCAGTATTTGAGAATCGCAGCAAAGATGTGTGATTGGCCTCCAGTTATTAAGTAGCAAAGTATCCTTGCCTGGTTTTGGTAGTAGAGAAATTATTCCTAGTGTCATTGTTGGGGGTATCTGTTTATCTATTAAGTCGTTAAAGACTTACAACAATATTTCTTTGATATCATTCCAAAAAAATCTGTAAAACCCAATCAAAGCCTGGTGATTTAGCACCAGCCATTTGGGAAACTGCTGTATCAGCTCGGCCAAAGTGATGTCTGATTCAGAGAGGTCTTTAAAATGTCTATTTTGGGGATTTTATCCTGGATAGAGCTGAAAAGGGAAACAGTATCTTGGTTGGAATACTGGGTAGTATAAATAGGTTTGTAAAAGACAGTGATATAATAGCTTTAAGCGTTTTCATTTTCGACTAAAGTTTTATGAATATGTAAGTTGTTTATACACTTTTTGCCAATTTTTTTTTCAAAATTAACAAGCATTTTGAATATCTTTCTCCATCCTCGATCCACTTCGCCCTTGAACAGATAAAGGCACCTTTTACATTCTCTGCTTTCCTCTAGTTTGGATTGGAGTCAATAATAAACCAGTCAGTTTTTCACATTTAATTTAGTTAAGGTGCACAATGAGTTTATCTTGGAAATTATTTAAACCTATTATTAGACATTATCTTCATTCCTGTGTCTCTTGAAAGAAAAAACTATTTACTTTGGTTGTCCCTTGCAAAAATAAAAACTGCCTTGCGATTTATTCCATTTCTAAAACCTTGAACATTTAAGGATACAAATAAAGAGAGAACCATGGAATGATTCTCTCTAACTAATCAGGGCTATAAGATATTTTAACCTTACAAACTTGAAAACTAATTTAACATACCAACTTTAAACCAGATATGTACTCCTTTAATGTATACCTTTCTGCTAATTAGATGAGGGTAAAGGGGGAAAAAGTTTGTTTTTTCATCCCGTGATTAGAGGGGTATAGATAACCTCGTATCCATCCTTGAAAAAAAGCCTTGAATCCCCGAATTTTCATCTCTTAACAAATCGTGGCATTTTAAAACATTATTCAAATTTGGTATCGAACAGTTCTCACGGCAGTGTTTGATAACATGCCCGAGTTTGTCAGTGTTTTCTATTTTTTTTTTTTAAATATAACCTGTATCTACAGAATTATGCAGTTGTCCATTGCTAATCGGGATAACTTTTGCCAAGATTTATGATAGTTTTATTCCCTTGTGCTTGACAAACGATTTGAAGCGCGCCGTGGGGAAACTACTGCGAGCGGAAGTAGCATTTGTTGTTCTTCCTTCTGTTTCCGAGACGTTCAGGGTCTAAACGGGTTCAATAACCGCTTCTGCATGTCTCTTCAAATTCCCTCAATAAATCGTCTTCTACTGCCCCCGAATGAAGGTAATGTCAAGTCTCACTTCGAATTTACGCAGTTGCCACTTTAAACCAGACTTTATCGGGTTTGGGGCTACGGCTAAATCCGACTATTCTCGCCAGCTTGTCCCCCCCCCCTCCCGCTGTCAGCCTTGGTGAGCCCGGGTAGCGTGCGCTTAACAGCCGCTAGCCAAACAAATCCAGCGCCGTGCTTCGGAAGCTCCGCACCTTGAACGCAACATGGGGGGTTTGTCTTGACCCTGTCCCCCCCCCCCAAAAAAAAAAAAAATCGACCATAACTATGTGTGACTAACGCATAGGTTGAGCGGGTGTGTGCCCTGGAGTCAGGTGTGACAGCTGGTGAGCGGTGGGCCGAACTTGTCCCGAACGGGCCCCTCTCTCTCTACGTTTAGGTGCTTGTCACTTCGGACATAGCAGCTATGTCGGGACCCCTCGTCCCTCAGCTCTGCCTGGATTTATTTCGCTTTCCTTTCCCACACGCCCACCAACCAAAAAAAAAAAGAATTACTTCTTAACCTCTATGGCAACTTATTGTAGTTTTAGCACTATGTTTAGGTGAACTGTGACTGCTAGCAGAGTTTGAAATGTTTAATCATGTCGTGAAAGGTTTTAGCAGGTTTCTAATTGATTGATACATGAAATGATACCCGTAGGCCATATTTGCCTGAGGCCTCATTTGCTCTATTTGTGACCTGTAAACAGGTTATGTAAAACTTTCCCTAACTTGTTTATCACTGCCTATCTCAGAGCTAGTGGAACAGAAAATATTGAGCACCTTGTTTCTTCACCTCTCTGCTCTGGTGTTTATTCTATGGTGCTCATTGCCCATGACGTGTTACACACTTAATGCATGTGGTTGCAAGAGGATTTTAATGAGCAAACTCCTTTAAACACCTCCAACTTTTCAAGGACAGCGATTGCTTTGGAACCAAATGAGACACTGGGTAGAATTTCTAGTCTACCTGCTGTCAAAGGAGAAGCTGTCAGTGTTATATATCAAGGAAATACAACTCAGAATCAGATGTAACACTGTGGTGCGATTTAAAAGTCCTAAACACTGGATCTTAAATAATGACACGGATATGAAGAAATGATATCTGACATATGTCTGATTCGGTCTTGTAGGTCTTGTGATTGGATAGTTGACGCCCCCTGTGAGAGAAATTGATGGATAAGTTTTGGAAAAGCATGAAAAATGGATGCGTGCATTTCTCCTGCTCTGCTACATATGATAAGATCTGGGAAATATGCTTTATTTGAATGGGAACTCTTACTTACAAATGCATGATACAGGAGCAGCGTGAGAAGAAAATAGACAACCTGTGGTCAGAATAACAACCAAACCAAACTAGTAACATGTACTCCTTGATATTGGAAATAAAAATTGGAGAACCACATTTTTTTTGCAAATAATCGATGACATGCCTTTGTTTTTACTTGATAATAAAGTATCTATTTCAGTCGCCTTATCTAATTAAACACAGTTAAAAGTTAAAAAGTGCTTCAAGCTGTCCAACATTTTTAACTTTATGTAACATTTTCCCCAAGTATAAAGTAATTGATTTATTCGTTCTGCTTTTTTATTTCAACAGATTCCTAATTTAGGATCACTTGTTGTCTAACCTTTTTTTTTTTAGGAGAAAGATGAGACTTGTTTAAGTGGAAATATCAAAGTCGATATAGAAGTCAGTGTTAGGAAACCTTAACATTTTCCACAAACATTTTTGTGGGAGATGGAAGGTCTCAGCACTGTGATTTTATGGAGTGGTAAATAACCCGCTCTCGGGTTATTTGTTCTGTACCTGCCTCTTAAATAATCCACCTGTTTGATAAGATACATAAAGTGGTGGCTTCAGCTTCTGTGGCTTTAAGGTCATATGTTTTTTTTTCTTCCTTGTTGTCGTCACAAAATAATTTCTCCACCTGAATTCAGCAAGCAAGACTAAAACAAATTCCTTTGGACCCAGTCTGGATACTGTATGTACATGTTACTATGGTTTCTGAAGATCTATAGATTATTCCCAAAGACTCTCAAGGATTTTGGGGTTGGCTCTGTCTTGGTCGAGACTTTATGTCTCAGGTTTTTTGGATTCGTGAGCCACATAATGAAGTAGGTGGCTATTTATGTGATTGTTCTGGGTTTTAAATATCTGAACTGAGCAGAGAGGAAGCTTTGTAAAAGATAAAAGGAAAGAATGAGATAACATTTTCTTGTGATCATGTTGGTTCTTTCTCCATTTTACAATTAGTTCATGTCACACCTGTGAGTTTCTGAAGTTTTAACTTTTCTTTCACGCATTATATAAGGATATGAAAATGATTTTATGAATTTGTATTGAAATGTTTATTTGGCTCTGGTACTCCCGTTTATTTCTTAGTGTTTCGAATTAAAGGATGTGGGATCCGTTCTTTTTGGTAGCATCCAAACTGTCATTGTGTTTAATTTCTCCCTGTCCCACAGATTAACAGGTATGCCAAAGGAAAAATATGATCCTCCAGATCCCCGCAGATGTTACACCATCATGTCAGCCGAGGAGGCAGCCGCTGGGAAGAAGTCATACTGGGCGGAGCTTGAGATATCTGGTTTGTCTAACTAATTTCGATTGGAATAATGTCCATTTGAATAAAAATAATGAATAAAATAAAACCAGCAACAGCTTTGAGATTTGTCGCAGATCTGTTATCAAACAGACAAAAGCCCAAACTCTCAGAACAAGTTTAGTGGGGCAGTTGTAGATATTGCTTGATATGGTTGTTTTTAGACAGATTGGGAATGACAGACCTTCTTTATAAACCTATAGACTAGTATCTGCGACCTGATTCTGGGCTATAAACAAGTAACCGTTTAGAACATAAATGAATGCTTTTGTAATAAAGATTATTCAAATTTTTTATTTTTCAATTTTTGCAGTTTTGCTTAAATAGATATGAAAATGTAATATAAGCTGAGTACATTTGTTAAAAATCAGACTGACCAATTTCTGTTATTGGTTCTGTTTTTTTTCTCTCTGCACAGGACGAGTAAGGAATTTGAGCAGCTCTTTATGGACACTAACCCACCTCACGGCACTGCACATCAACGACAACAACCTGACTCGCATCCCGCCCGACATCGCCAAGCTGCCAAACCTGGTCTACCTGAACCTGTCGTCCAATAAGCTCCGCAGTTTGCCCGCCGAACTTGGAAACATGGTCTCTCTCAGGTAGACTTTTCCGCTCCGCCGCAGCTTTCTGTCAGAAAGTTTGAGAGACAATGGCGTGTTGCACAGCTTTAGACAGCGGTTCTTTTAATGAAAAGAAAACACCTGTTTTTGCCTTTAACTTGTAGGTGGGTAGCAGACGTTATGACTTCAGATCGATGTAACGCATAATTGTTTCAAACAGAACAAAAAGTAACAGAACAGAACAACTGAATAATGAGTTTGGCTTTCTCTAAAGAAATTTGTCCAAAAACAGAAACGGTAGAAGGATACCTTCTTCCAAATTCAGATGTCGACACTGTTTTTGTGCTGACGTAACTTATAGTAAAACATTTTTTTTAAATAATGTGACCTTAGCATATTACACCGATGATATGGCCTTTGTTTTTCTTTGTGTTCTGATAAAAGTCAAAGAGACCTTTCTTTTTATTTAACAGTGTAAATAACAGAAGTAGAGATCAGGCATCCTTGTTAAGTTGCTGCTAAGTGAGTGTAACTTGTCAACTTCTGGATATTCGAGGCTTCAGTGCAAACTTAATTTGCAGTTATTTGAGTTAGCCTGACTCAATGTGATTCCTTTAGAAAGATCTGTTGCTTTACAATCACAGGTGAACATAATGAAAACATTAAGCTTGTCTAAAAGACCCAGGGAAAAAAATCTAATTGTTTGTCGGGCAAAAAACCTTACTTTTTAAATGTCAGTCCAACTGAAATTGCCCAAAGCCACCTAACAAACCCAAATTAAGTGGCTGATTCATCCATTTTTGAGACATGTAAACGTTTAGTGTTTATTGATACAACAAAATTCCATTAAAACCTGCTGTTATTGACATATATTTTCTATTTCTTTTGTGAGATAGCTAGATTAATTTTAGAAAATCAGATTGAGAAATCAGATTCTGCTATGCAAAAGTTTACAAAGCAACACTATGATGTAATTAACTGACTTTTCTTTTTTTTTTCTTTTTTGTTTGTTCGTTTTTGTCCAATCGTCCAGGGAATTGCTTTTAAATAACAATCTTTTACGAGTTCTGCCTTATGAACTTGGGAGACTTTTCCAGTTACAAACCTTGGGGCTAAAAGGTAAGACATTTGTTTTGCATTACTTTGCATTGCTTTTAAACAGTTTTACATGTTAACTGTCTGCTTATTCTGGTCATTATAGCATTTTCTTTTTCTTAAAGAAAAAGCTACATTTACATTTTTACTGTTTACATTTTTTAAAGATTCTAACTATATTCTTCTTTTTTTTTCTTTGGCAGGAAATCCTTTGTCCCAGGACATTCTCAACCTGTACCAGGAACCCGACGGAACCAGAAAGCTTTTGAACTACATGCTCGACAATCTAGCAGGTAAATGCTCATACATATTTAAAAGGCAGTTTATTGTAAACTTGAACACCTTGAGTTTTTAATCCCTAATCCCCCCCCCACCCTACCATTTTTTCAGTGCATCCAGAACAGCTCCCCCAAAGACCTTGGATCACTCTGAAACAGCGAGACGAGATGATCCCCACAGGTTGGTCTGCCTGAAAATAGCCACAACTTGTACCTTAATACTCTTGTTTTCTCATTTTTATTTTTTCTAACTTAAGACTGTTACATGACATTGAACGAACATGACGTCTTCTATAAGAAAGATACCATTTATAGAATGAGAAAAACTGTAAAATATCACTCATCTCTGCACACAACTCAACTTAAAAAACATTCAACACAAAAGAACTATCAGCAGGCCCAGTTGATCTTTTCTGGGGGGTTTTTCTTGTTTTTTTCTTGCATGTGATCAAGCCTTAAATCCGTGTAACTGATATATTCTAGATGCAAGTTTCTTCTTGGATATGTTAAAAAAAAACTTTGCAGATTTGATTGACTGAAAGTAATATTTGTCATTTAGCACCAAATGCACCAACACAACAATATAACTGATGTTACTTTGAATTTCTAAAGTACATTAAAACATCTGTGGATCTGCTTTCAAAGTCACCCTAACACTGTAACAAATATAATTTTTCTATTTTTTGCTTGACCATCTCTGTAAAAGTGATAAATAGCAGCTGCTAACACTTGTTTCAAAAGTAAAGTAAAAATTTTCTGTTCTAACTTGATCATCTCCGATGTCTTTGTTCCAAAATACTGACCCAAACTCAAAGAGATTCAGTAGAAATTTGCTAGCAAAAGAAGACGTAGGAAGAACATGTCGAATTTTAACATGTTTTCCTCAAAATTGTCTTAAATGATCATGGAAACAGTCAGAAAAATACCTTTTTTGTGTATTTATAGAATGTTTTTCTGCCCTTTTGTGCACAGCGGTGTTCACAGTCATGTGCTACAACGTCCTGTGTGACAAGTATGCCACGCGGCAGCTGTACGGCTACTGTCCGTCCTGGGCCCTGAACTGGGAGTACCGGAAGAAAGGCATCATGGAGGAAATTACCAGCTGTGACGCTGACATCATCAGCCTGCAGGTGAGGCTTCTGTAATGGGTGGAACATTCCCTCAGAAAACAGGGATTTTCCCCATAACTTTACTGATTTATGTGGCTGCATTAACTCACCTGTAAATGTCAGCTTATTTACGTGGTGAGTGAAGATGGTAATGTTGTTAGGATGAGCATGGCACGATCGTGTTGCACTCGGCTTGTTGATCTCATTTGTAATAGTACCACAAAACTGAATTTCCTCCTAATTAATCTGAGTAATGAGCACCACTGTTCATAGAATTTGCAGACACGTCATTTGTAAACACTTAATTTTTCCTCGAGCTGTGCTTAAAATGTTATTCGCAGCCATTTACAAGAGAGCCTCTACAACTACCTGCTGATGGAATTTTGCAGCCTGTTGCGTGGAATGAGATTGTTCAATCCTTCACCGCAGCTAAATTGAAACTGTAAAAGATCAGAGTTAAGATCAGAGTAAATCTCATCCGATGTCTAGCACTGATCGTCTGTTAACTGTGTGTGTGTGCAGGAGGTGGAAACCGAGCAGTACTACACGTTGTTCCTGGAGACACTAAAGGATCGCGGCTACGACGGCTACTTCTGCCCCAAATCCCGTGCCAAACTGGTCTCAGAGCAGGAGAGGAAGCATGTGGACGGCTGTGCAGTCTTCTTCAAGACCAACAAGTACGCTCGAATTTCAAATTGAGACAAACAAGCAAATGCAAGCTTCCTTCTGGGAATTGACGTTTCTGTGTTTTTTGTTTTCGGAAGGTTCACGTTGGTCCAGAAGCACACTGTAGAGTTCAATCAGGTCGCCATGGCCAACTCAGAGGGGTCCGAGGTCATGCTGAACAGAGTGATGACCAAAGACAACATCGGGGTGGCCGTTCTGCTGGAGGTCAACAAGGACGCATTCTCTGGTGGTAAGACCTCCACATGTGGCCTCAAGATGATCTAGAGCAGGGGTGTCCAACTCCAGGAGCCCTTTTTAGAGTGAGAAGCAGGCTTTGCAAACACATTAAAATCAGTATTTGAGAAATAGAATATGTCATGGATGGCATTAAAGTAAACGGTGTCTCCAATGGATATATCAGTGGGATAAGCATGGAATCAAAAATACAGATTTATTTTTTTGTCTGAAGAGAGTAAAAGCCGCGGTGTTTTTTTCCCCCACAAGATGTCAGCAGTGATTTTTAGAGTTTTTTTTTTCTTTTTAAAATGCAAACCAATTTGACTAAAAGTGCTCACACAGCATCTAGTTCATTATGTGACTTGTGAAGAAAGGGTTAAGCTTAAACGTTTTATTCCATGTGGACTAAATTCCCTTCTGTGTTTTCAACCCACCCCACCCACCCTGTTTTCTTTCACTTATTTTTGTTGTCCCAGCTCTTCTGATTTGCTCTGTCGTTTTTCATTTCCAAACTAATCATGCAAAGGTTGTACAAGGATACTTGTATTGACATTCCAATTTATTATTTTAGTTTTCATGGTGTTTTCTTTTTTTCCATTATTATTATAGTGCAATAATCCTTGACATTACTATATTTCAGTGGCTTTTTTTTTTATTACTCAGCACTAATCCTTTCTGCTTTTTATTTGCTCTTTTTCGTATTCTCTCTCAGGTATGAAGCTACCGCAAGAGAGGCAGCTGATCCTGGTGGCCAACGCCCACATGCACTGGGACCCCGAGTACTCGGACGTCAAGCTGATACAGACCATGATGTTCCTGTCGGAGCTGAAGAGCATCGCGGAGAGGGCTCTGGGCTCCGTGGTGACGGGCTCGCCGACCTCCGACCCGTCCTCCATCCCCATCGTCTTGTGCGCCGACCTCAACTCACTGCCTGACTCCGGTATGGCCCGATGGCGCTCGCACTCGCGCACAAATCGGCGTTTCGAGCCGCTTTTCCGAAACCCCCAGGGGGGATTAAATGTTCAAAAACTCCCATGTTCCCGTCTGGGATCCAGGTGTGGTGGAATACCTGAGCAACGGGGGCGTGGCCGAGAACCACAAAGACTTTAAAGAGCTACGCTACAACGAATGTCTGACCAACTTCAACTGCAACGGCAAGAATGGCAACTCGGACGGGAGCATCACACACAGTTTCCAGCTGAAGAGCGCCTATGACAGCAATCTGATGCCTTACACCAACTACACATACGACTTCAAGGTAGAACTCCCCGAAGTGCTACATTCACTGACAGTCTTCCCCGGCATGCTTCCTAATTTTAGAGTGTTTTTTATTGCACTTAGAGGCTGTTATTGTTATATAACTTAGAAAAAAGAGACATAAACCAGCAGGCTGATCAAACATGACTGACTTTTTCCATTAAAAAAGAAAAGATTCCTTTTGATTCACCCTTTGACTGAATAGTCAAAAGTTTTGGAAAAAGCAAGTGTTAAAGTTTGCGTCGGCTGCCAGACTCGTTGATATGCGTGCATTGTTTTGATCGATATGAATGGTTATGTGGCAGAAGATTCCAGTGGGTAAAGATGACCTCAAACATCTGAGCATCCTCGCCATGACTCAAGCCTCCCAGTGCCCGCAAACAACATGTTTCCTCACCTCTTTAGGGTCGGAATGGACCCCTGGTCTTGTTGTTTACATAAGTGTCAACATATTGGCTTTGCTTTACAATGAGTCACACAGGCAGCTCCCACACAGAATGATGGCACACTCCTCCATGTTGCACCATGGCGGCAAGCTACCTCAACGTGTGTTTCTTCCTCTGGGGGACTTTTTCCAGCTATTTTTTGTCCTGTACTGTTTTCGGTAGATTTACTTTTTGCTTCACAACAGACCAACAACACTGGTCTATAACTTTATCAATTCTTCGATGACTAATCGAAAATAACTGGGACAGAATTAAATTAGTCAAGATCATATTTTCATACCCATCAGACATTAACTCATTGACTGCCAGCCATTTTCAGGACAGAGAGTCGCTCACTGCCAGAGTTTTTTGAGCATTTTGACTGATTTTTCAAGAGCCACAGAATAGTTTGTGCTATGACTCTGTCAACACCGAACACACCAAAAGAAAGAGTAGACTCTCTTCTTTCATCAGGAAAAATAATGTGTTTCTACCTTATTCCGTTTTTCCTCGACGTGCGTCTCACCGGCAACATGTTCTCTCATATCGAACCATTGCGTTTGTTTTTATTTGCCTACAATCTATGCTCATCTCCCATCAAAAGTGGCACAGCTACCTAGAGGGTCAATTTGTTACTACATACTCTGTCTAGAAGCCGATATTTACGGAAAAACTTTAGCCGATCGTTCCCCAAGCCACTCGCATTGAAAAACATAAGACGTCTATAGATGTCTTTGGCAGCGAACGGTTGTATTTGAATTGACGTCTATAGACGTCTTTGGCAGCGAAGGAGTTAATTAGCTGTCAGTTGGAGTTTTTTTCTTTCCTTTTATGTAAATATGAGCATGTAATGATTTTAATCTAAGACACCAGATATGATTTTAGAGGAAGATTTACAGTTTAGCGTCATTATCTACGAATGGTTTGATCTGAACACTAGTGTTTAGCTTCTAGCTAGTAGTAGCTACTAGTAGCTGTGGTAAAATGTTTTAAAGATACTAAGTTTGATGCTGAACTGTCAGAAGAACGTCTACATACCCTTTTACTAACAATGCCTGTGTGTTTACAGGGTGTCATCGACTATGTCTTCTTCTCCAAGACGCACATGAGTGTCCTGGGCGTGTTGGGGCCGCTGGACAGCCAGTGGCTGACAGACAACAACATCACCGGCTGCCCCCACCCGCACATCCCCTCCGACCACTTCTCCCTGCTGGCCCAGCTGGAGCTGCGCCCTCCTCTGCCCCACCCGCTCAGTCCGCTCAACGGCCTGCACCTACCGGTCCACAGGTAGTGCAGCCCCAGGGAGCCCCGCCCACCAGCCCCGCCCCCACAAACCCCCCGGCTTTTAAACACTCGTCGACCGACACACACACACACACACACACACCCCTCCAGCTTTCCGAAAGTTTAGAGTTTACTATTCATGTTATAACTCAGACACCATCTGACCCCTAAAACCCTGACACGCCTGCCCAAAAGGAGTGAAGTATTTGCCCGGTTTGTCGCTCCGTTCCGTTGTTTTTGCACACTTTATGTTTTATTTTCTCCCCTTTAAAAAAAAAAGCTTGAAACCAAATGCTGGGCTCGGGATGAAGTTGTTAAAGTGATCTACAATGTCAGTTATTTTATTAATTTTTTTGTCTTTTTGCCTTAAACATGATCACAACATCCCATAGTTTCTGCTCCCACACATGCAAAGTAACACTTTCAACTGTTTTAAGGTCGATTGACAACACAAGCGTCAGCAGATGAGCTGGCTGTCATGAGTTTGTTTTCACGTAGATATGAATAAAAATTTTAAGGGTAGTGACACGAGGATAATATTATTGCTGCACCATTTATATTGGGCTAAAATTGATAGTTTATGGAAGTGTAACGTGTTCTCACTCCCAAACCGACTGACAGATATTTTAATAAAAACAAGTAACACTAAAAACAGCTGAATGTAGGTCATGAACGAATATGTGGAAAGATTGTTTACACCTATCTGTTTTTGGTTGGGGTTTTTTTTTTGTTTCTTTATCTTATTCTTCCAAATTTTAAAAGACACCAAAGTACTTATTTAAACAAATGTGAGGAAACATTAAGGGTGTTTTTAAATAAACCAAAAAAATAAATCAAATACAACTTTGCTCCTTTTAGGAGTAATGTTTCATATATATGTCATCTCATCTAATCTCAAAGCACAGGTAACGTCAATATTGAGTTGTTTTCAGGCATATCACCTTGTTAAGGAGCCGCATACTTGCCTTATCTGAGAAGAAAAAAAGGAAATATCTTCCACCATCTTGCAAACTGACAAACCTCGCACCAATCTGTTAGTTTTTATTTTTGTGATGCAGGTGCGCACCTCGCTTTGTCTTTTTTTTTTATTTATCTAGTCATGGACATTTTTTAAAAAGTTTTTGAGAAGCTTTTAGCCTCTTTGTGACGTAACGGCACGATTAATTCATAACAAATTAGCGTCACAAACGTTATTTTAACAAATTCACTTATGAAATGAGCTCCCTTATTGTATATTTAATTTAACATGAAAACTATGGCATGGTGTTTTCACAGGTAATGCTATTGTTTTGTCTTTAAACTCTAAAGAAACTATGATACCATCAGTTTCATGCCCCATCTGATTGTCCAAAGACGATTTTCCTGTCTTAAAACGGGGCTAAAATGTGAAGGAAAGAAAAAGAAGATCCAGTTCAAAAAACGAATGTGTTTAAGAGATAGACCGTTTAAAAGCCAGATTCCTGTGACTATTAATTATACGTTCATATGTCATATTCTATATTTGTGTCAGATAATTAGAAACAATAGCCCTTTATGTAAGTTGCAACTCAGGGCTGTGCTATGCATCCAGCAGTACCTCTCAAACTCATTTTTTTAACAAAGCCAAACAGGAAGCTGTTTTTCCAAAAATCCTTTATAAGCACAGGTAATATATGTACTTGCATACACAATTGTCGTGTAATTGTTGTATAAATCCCAAGTCTTCATGCAGTTTTTATAAAACTACTGATGCACTTTCACTAACTTTCCAGGAAAGGGTAACCTGGGAAACAGAAACTTTTCAAGTTTTAGAGTCGTGAAGTGACGCAAATGTGATGGTTGTCCGACTCTTACATTTAAGAAAATAGTAAGAATAATTTAGCCTTGTTAAAAAATAGCTTTTTAGAGAAGCTCAGCTATCCGTGTGTTATTAACCAAATGAATAATTTCCTTTAGAAATGGAAAATGCTCTTTTTTTCTGTTTTAAGGAGAAAATCCTAGTCTTTACCAAAAAAAGTAGTCAAAAATGTGTAATTTTGTGTCAACCAGTGGCTCGAAATCTTGCAATCAGTATAAAAGTCAACTATTTAGAAGTTAAAACCTTTTTTCCTTTCAGAATAGAAAGTGCTATTGTGTAATTTAACCCATAAAAGTTAAACTCTAGAAATCCTTAGCTTGTATTGATCAGTTTCAAACAGAAAATGCTAAAAAGCCACTGGTTTGGAAATAAACTGACGCAATTTTAGGACTGACAAAGTTAGATTTGTATTGGGAATTACCTTATTTTTAAAAAATCAAATAAAATCTTGCACTGATACCAGCTTAGAATGTCCAGTTCTCAGTGTAATGGATGCGTTTTAAAGGTAACTCGAAAGATCGATGCTCGGCTCTGTTAGCTGCACGAACTCAGAGTTTCACATATCTGACACGTTTACCACCGCAGTGACACCTTTTTTCTCTGTTTAACGTTTAACTCTGAAGCACGTGCTTTAACCCATCAGGCTTCAGTTGCACACGATTCCACGCTAGCAAGTTCAAATCGGTCCATCGGATTCCGATGGAGCTGATCTTTGTGAGCATTTTGAGGCCTATACTTCACTCCTGAACTATCCTCCCAGGGTTTTCTGTTTTTTTGTAAAAACAGCTACATATGATAGACTATCTTTTGGGGATGGGGCGCCTCCCACAATGTTTCCACGACAAAAAAGGGGGTGCAATTTTTTCCTCGCTGATGAAAGCTGTACTCGGTTTTGTCTATTTTTGTTTTGGTCGGTACACTAGGCTCTCACGTGAACACAAACCTCCAAACTCTCGAGGAGACCAAAAGCGTCTCTGTCCAACTCAGTTTTGGAACTTACGGGCATTTTTTTTTTTTTTGTCAAACATGCAGTTTATCAGTTGGTACTTTGTACGATTTCAATATAACAATTTGTGAGAAAAAAACGAAGACATAAATGTTATTGGTTTAGAAAACATTTTGTGTTGATGGCTTTTATTATTTTTTCAATGCACATATGAGGACATTTTCAAAGTTCTGATTCCTAATGATTTTACAAATAGGTTTAACATCCTTCCATACATAAACCTCACACAACCTCCTTAACCACCTCTTTAACTGATTTCATACAAATACCCCACTACCATGACCCGTCAACAATTTATTTTATTTTATTTTTTGTCTCAATAGAGCGCACCTCATGTACTTTTTCTATAAACAACGTGCCTAGTTTGTACAGCAGCACTGCCCGTTAGACCAAGATGCTCAGAGATTAACCCCTCCATCCGTTCATCAGTCCAGCCATCTTTTCATCCCTCCATACCAACTTTTTTTAAAGTAACTGTGGGGAAAATAAACTCCAGAGTCACTTTCGTTGTTCTTTTTTTTTTTTAAAAGAAACTTATTTTTCACTTCAAACACAATTCCACCTTTCCACAAATCGCTTCTTTAACTTTAAATATCTTCAACTGCAACTTCCCGCTTCTCTGCATTTCACTATTTCTGACTGTAAAAACTCCCATTCGCTCCATTTGTGGCCATGTTTTTTTTTTAAATTTACCTTTTTTTTTTTTTTCACCCTCATTTTAATAAAAGCCGATTTTGTAAACGCACGTTCGGGGTTACCGTGTGAGGTCATCTGATGTGTTGCCAGTACAGGAAAAAAAAAAAAAAAGGAAGGGGTTTACAGTACAGAGGAAACTGAGGATTTTGCTGACACAGGATTTCTTCTCGCACATGTTGGAAGAAGCCTACTGAAGTTCAAGGATGTTTCTAAACACGCCAAAAGTCTGGAAGCATGTCATAGGCATGTTCAAAACGTGACACCTTACAAAATGTTGTGTGTATTCTGAATTTTGTCATCAAAATGGGACGTTTATGGAACAAGGCCGCACATGGTTTCGTTAGGTTAAGAAAATATATCAAGGAACAGAAGGTTGACTTTCTTGTTCTTTCTGGATGCGTTTAGATAATCAAGAGAAAAAAGCTTCTGCATCTCAGCGCATCGGTTGTGTAAATGTGTGTTTTACGGTTTGAGCTAATCCGGGTCATCAGCCACCAGCAGTTGCCACCAACGGTGCTACGTTCTCCTCAAAGGAAGTGGGCTTTCATCTGACTTTGTCTGGTAGTTTCTCGTCAAGCCCTACCCAAACAAGTCTGCATTTGGATGAGAGGAAACCTCCCACCCTGAGGTGATTGTGAGCTGCACAATCCCGAATATGCATCACAACCGAATGTCAAAATGGAGGAAAAGCTTGACTTACAGATGGCCAAAGAGAAGAAGTTGATGTTAGTTTTTATTTGATGAGCGGTAAACGGATAGCAGCACGTTGTTGTGTTCCCCTGACACCAAATGATACATTACAGATTTGTCTTTTGTTGAAATCCTGATTATTCTTTTAAAAAAGTTCATTTTCCATTGTTTTTTCTTTTAAAGTTCTCATCTGGACCCACTCCAGCTGGGGTTCTCAGTTAGGACTTAATTCCTTGCTGCCACTAAATAAAAGGAAGGAGATAACTTTGGAAATTATAGACAAAAAGGCCATTACGAATACCAAAAAGAACCCCAAAAATCAGGACTTGCTGGAGACAGGGTCCACTTTACGGATCCTTATTGTCTTCAGGTTCGTCAAAGCTCTGTGTTTGAGGTTTGAAAAGCTACTGAATGTATTTGATGAGCAAATATTCAACAAAAAGAACATTATCTAGTAACATTATGAGGCCAATTACACCTTCAGTCTACCTTCAATACCTATCACGATAATAAAAGTTCTATAGTAAATTGGTGCTGAAATAAATGTCTATAGCTGATGATGAAAGCTGGCAATGAAACATAAAATTTAGCATTCTGGGTTTCAAACCAAAAACCTGAATAGAAATCAGGATTTTTACAGGACCAGATAAGGACTTGGACAAAGGACACATCTGTATTTACAACAGGAAGCAAACATTCTCAGACCCACCTGTATTCATCATCTCTCCGCACAGCGCCGAGGCAATAAAATGCACTTTTTAAAAAGAGTCTGTTTGTCATGGTTTTATTTCCTCATTAAAAAAAGACAACAAAAAGGCGAGTTGGAAGTTACAGCACCGACCAAGAGGGTCACATTTTGGAGGGAAATTGA